ACACAACCAACAGAATATAAACTTGGAGTTTGGAAATTATAATTAGTAGTTACTGTTTTTTAACAATGTTTCAACTAGGGTTTATAGTTATTAAAATATTTTATGGGAAATATCTTAAATATTTATATATTTTTTTCTCACATTCTTAAACATTTACTATAATGAACAAAAATAAGAATGATCTCTATGTAGAGCTCTCTATTCAAATTAGGTATTTCAACCAACGCAGCATTGAATAAATAATCAATTGAGACATCAGATTTATGGGAGTGCCTTCCCTCAACAAAGCAGCAATCTTTATTTATAGATCATATTATATATCCAAAAACTAATAAATTCCAAAACAAACCACATCAAGTATTTTCAATTACTTAATAATAAAAAACCAATTGGGGATCATAGATATAAGCTGCTACTCAAGCTGAGCTGAATGTCAACGCATTTGCTTGTGACACGTTTAAGGGCGTTGCAGTTTGGTTGGGGGAAGAAAAAAAAATGTGGAAAATGGAAATATAAAAAGCAACACCTGTCGCTATAGCTATGTACTTAGACCTACATACATATAGTATGCACATATGCACGTGGATAATTCTAGAGGCTAGCTCTCCCACCTTTGAGTTAGTTCCCAGGTGTGTGTTAGCTTGTCTATGGGCATCCATTGAAGGGCTTCGTTAGCGAAAATAAAACACGTCAACTAAAAAAAAAAAACTGCAACCAGAATTGAGATAGCAAAACGACAGTGCATAGTAACAACGGCGGGGACAGTTATAGGTCAGCTTATGGCCCTTAGAGTACTGAGCTTTATCAAGAAGTGCTTGATTAATTATAACACTATCTCAATATTTAATACTAATAAAAACGGTTTTCTTGAGTGTTTAAAAATATCTCATAATAAACTTGGTTTTTAAAAAATCCTATAAAAATAAGAACAAATTAAATAGCCCAAAAATGAATTAAAAGCTTCATTTTTATAGTTAATAAAAACTTTCAAAACATAATTTTATTACTAAAAAAGTTGGATTTGGGGATCAGACTCAAGACGAAAAAATTTTCTTAAGAAGGAAATTTTCCTTTTGGTTGAAATTTGTTTTTAAAAAGCCTTTTAAAACCAAGAAGATCATGTAAAACTTCAGTTCCGATTAAATCTCTTAAATGTACTATTTTCATGGCCACCACTGTGCTTACATACGAACCTTTTATCTAAAAAGCCTTTAAAACCCAAGAAGATCTTGTAAAACTTCAGTTCCTATTAAATCTCTTAATGGTACTATTTTCATGGCCACCACTGTGCTTACATACGAACCTTTTATCTACGCGTGTGTGCATAAGTTAGTATGTAAAAAAAGTTCTAGGGCAGGTTATAGTTTTTACTCTTATTTTATTTTTTTTTTTTGCAAAAACCTCCAAAGTGAACATTAGATAATGAGCGGTGGAGAGGCCAGGAAAGAGATAGCCATACTATAGTGAGAGAGAGATAGAGAGAGAGAGAGAGCTCGACTGATAAATCTAATGTTTGTCATGTGAAGCGAACCGCTTTTCAGGGCCTTGCAATTTTTATGCACTTATGACATGAAATTGCTTTGCACACACTCATAAAAGCTTTTCGACTCCCTCTCACTCTCTATCTCTCGCTCTCACTCTCACTCTCTTAATTCTTAGTTGGTTTTTGTTGTGGGTGGGGCGGGGGGCAAAAGGGGGTGGCAAAGGGGTGAGTGCATGCGCACCATTCAAGAAATGCATTGCACTTGTCGCCCAACACGCGCACTAATACATATGTATGCAGACACACACACACTTACACACACACTCGCACACACATTTTCTGCCCACAGACTTACATAAACTTTTCCATAGAAAAAAATACAAAAAAAAGCAACAGCAACAACAACAACAAATGTATAAACCTTCCAAATGACGTCAATCGCTCTGTAAATTGTGGCTTTTGTTAACTGGTTGTTGTTGTTGTAGCTGCTGCTGTTATTGTAGTTGTTGCCTTTCCATGCCAAAAACAGAAGTTTTTCGGCATTTCGAGTGGGTTGCTGTATTGTATGCTCATTGGCAACTTTTTTTTTTTTGTATATTATTCGATTTTTGGGAGCCCAGTTTTGTGGATCATCGACTATGAAATCAGCGCTATTTATGTTTGTTTTTACGCTCCATTGATCTCTTTTTTATAACTCTAATTTTTCCCGAATGTGTTCCCAATGCTCGCAAATTGTTCAAAGGAAACATCCAAAATATGGATCACCACCTTTTAGTATTCATTTTTAGTAGTAAAATCTTCTTAATTCAAATTATTAGCTCTAATAATAATAACAAAATGAACGAAAGTGTTAAGTGAAGTTTTTTAAAATTTTTAAATATATTTTTACTCTAAAATTAAAAGTAATTTTTGGCCTAAAAACATTGTCTCCCCATTTGATTTAGAACCCCTGGCGCCACCTGTGGGCCACGCTTGTCCCATTTCGAAAATGCAAAGCAGAAGGGCAGAAAAGCTGACCTTAATATGCATTAATTGTTGCAGCAGAGCAATTCTAATGCTCTCACTCTCATTTTTCCGACTCTCTCTTTGTGTCTCACTCTCTTGCCCCATTCTCTCCTTCTCTTCAACCTTTCCCCCCTACTCTTTGTATTTTCCATTTACGTGCTTTATGCTTTTTTTTGGAGCAGCGCGCTGCTTCCATTTCCATTTCGATCCCAATTGCTGCTGTTGTTGTTGTTGCTGCTGTTGCTGCTGCTTTCGTTGGTGTGGGGGATCTTTTGTTTTGTTTGTTTGTCCTTCTCTAATTGTGGAATCATGTGCGTGTGCATGTGTATAGTGAGTAGTGTGTGTGTATGTTTAGAGATGGCACTGGAAATGGAATGGAATTTGAAATTGGGGGGAATGTTAAATCAATACTGATTAACTTTTGGGTTAGTTTTGGGGCTTGGATTAGGTTTATGCCTTAATAGGGAGAATTTAAGCCTTGCCTATAAAGTAATTATACTTTGGTTCAGAAATAAAGCTTAAAACACAAATTTTACACAAAATGAACGTCATTTCACAATGTTTTGTTATGCTTTATTCAATATTAAAACTATTTATTGTTATTGATTTGCTGTAACATAAATTTACTATTTTGAAGATAGATTTTTGAATCTTTTTTTTTGGAGTTTAGTAGTAGAAAAACTTCTTCAGTTACACCTTTTATTCCAGTTATATTATTTGAATCAACTTTTATATTTATTTTAACTTATAAGTTTCAGTGTCGCAACTTAAGTTTAAATGATTTAACCTCGTGACACGATAAAGTTCCGCCCGCCACTCAATCTGCGTTGCATGCAACTAAGTAAATACTTGTGCGATATATATGTACGACTATATACATATGTACATATGTTCCTATGTACATAAGGGGTTTATTTGACTGGAGTAGGGTGTGCGTTTGTGGGTTTTCCAAGGGGGTAGGGGCCCATGTGTGCCTATAATTATATGGTAAATATTGTATATGTATATGTAACCAACATACTTCGTGTGTGTAATTTTCATTTGAGTAAAATAGGTGAACATACACACGTCAATGGCTGGAACGACCTCGATGGCTTTCCACTTCCAAACCCCGTTTTCCGATCGATTTTTCCGCGCTGGAAAGTTTGTTAAATCACAGCCATTAATTTCCGACTCGATCATGCTACAATTATGTTTGTTTGTTGTTGGTTTTTTTTGTTTGTCTGTTTTTTGTTAGTATTTTTTTTTTGGTTTGTTTTTTATACCATAGCTTTGGAGTCTAGAACATGCAATTATTTTAATGTATTCGGCCTTGGGGCTCATGAATGTCAATTGGCACGTAAGTTCTCCATTAGCTATTAGCTTTTACCAACAGCTCCACGCATCCAAATGCAAATCTCTCTCTCTATATATCTATATATATATCTAAATATATATCTATATATATATCTTTATATATCTAACTTTATATATGCGTTGCAAATGAGTCGTTTTGTATGCTGAGTTCGTTGTTTTTTATGGTTTTTTATGGGGCCAGGTGACTCCCACCCACTCTGCACATTCAAACACACACACATATATATATATATAGTATAAACAAATTAAAAGGCAGCGGAAAAAGTGCAACTCATTTGAATGGTTTCGCCTTCATTATGCAAATTTTAGACAGTCCGCTTGTTGGTGGCGAATATTTATTTGCTCATTATAAATACATAAAGTTTTTGGCCATTTTAACGGTCATGACTTGCAAGCACACGAGCATTAAACGGTTTTCTAAATTTAATGTAACGATCGAGTTTCGAATTAGGAAGTGTGTTTGAATTTCCAAAAAGTAAGCGCCAAAGTATCGATAGGTGCGTATAAGACTATCGATAGTTTCATAGCAACTAGCTTTTGTTTGGAAGGTGATCTAACAGGGTGGCAGCCCTAATAAAATTAAAATTGTATCTTTAAATTAATTATTTAAAATTTTTATGATTTTTGTTAAATATAATCTATCATTGGGTAAGTATATAGTTAATTAAGTAAGAAAAGATTAATTCAATATATGTGTAAGAGAGATTTTAGGGACAGATTTGAAATCTATTACTAAACAAAAGTTATTGTTACCTTTTTTGTTACCGTTTTCTTGCTACTTTATGATTTAACCAAAACATTTCCTCAAATAGGGCAAAGAAAATTTAATACGTGGAAATATAATTTAAAACTACAATAAACTTTACTTGCTTTTTCAAATTTTAAGATTATTTTCCCGCCCAAAGCAAAGTCCATAGTGAAAAAAATCAATATACTAAATGCCAGCAGTACGAGCGAGATAACTATACAAAACAAGTGGCGAGGCAAAGAATAGCCGATAAGGTGATGCCACGTAGTTAAACATTATAAATATATTCAAGGAATTTAAAATATTTTGCCACTAAAGAAAACGTAAGAAGAATATAAAACAGTTTTTAAGTATATAAGCAAGCATTTGCATTACCTAAGCAAGTAATGAACCTACTGTGAATACCTTTTCCTACCTTTTAGCACCTTAAAACGATCTGGCAGCGCCACACGAAAATGGCGAACACGAGCACTCCGATGAACGACGAGCTGAAAAAATAATTATTATTTTAAATTCCGTTTTGCCAACGAAATTCGGTGCGTGCGCGAAAAAGAGTGCGGAAAAGCGCGGTTGGGAAATTTGTTAAGCAGCGTCAACATAATGCTACAATCAAAGTGCGCCGCCAATGAAAATGGTTAGCCAAATGGCAAAAAATATGTAGCGACAGCGTGCCCAGCCATAGAAAATCAAATAGAATAAAATTAAAGTTTTTGCTTTGCGAATTATGAAAAACCAATCGCAATGCGTGTGTGTGTGTACGTCGTGTGGTGCGTGCGCGCGTGTGTGTGCCAGCGAGTGTAGAAGTAGGAGGCGTAGCAAGAAATAAAAAATTAAAGCGAACCAACAAAATTTATTAAAAACGATAAAATAAAGTGAACAAACGAAAAAAGCAAACAAAAAAAAAAAGAAGAATACAAAAAAACAAGAAAAGCAGCAGCAAAAACAACACAAAACTGGCGGTAAATACGCATGCAGTACAAAAAACCAGCAAGAACAACAACAAAACGCAACGTAACGGGAACTCTTTGACGTATTTCCTCTATTATTATGCAAAAAGGCAGGCGGCAAATTGCAGCAGCAGCGAAAATCAAATATAAATAGCGAAAAGGTAACGACAGAGCCCCACAAAACTAAACTAAAAATAAGAGGCGAACATATTTGTTGTTTGCTGAGTGCAATAAAAAGGATGGCAAAGCAGAGGGGAGAGAATAAAATTTAAAAAAATTCAAAATACTGCAAACCTTTCAATTGGTTTCAATTGGCAAATGCAATTGTTCAGCATTACATTTGCATTACATCGCTCTCTGTCCCTCTCTCTTGCTCGCACTGCGCTCCGTTTGTTTCTTCCTCTCCCGCTCTCCTCGCCCCGTTTGCTTTGCAAAGTTTTGCGACGAACAAGAACAATAATAATCAAAACAAAAATGTTTAAAATCCATTTTCTTTCTGCCTCTCCTTCACCCACTCACTCATTTCGTAGCGCGCTGTCATTTGTCTTGCGCCTTTGCCTTCCCTTTCTTCTTTTCTGTCCCCTGGATTCTTCTTCTTGCCATTCCCCCGCCAAACAGCTGTCTCACTCGCTCGCTTGCACACCATCGAAAAAAGAAGAGACGCAACGAAAATGAAGTTGCCTTGCCTGGAATAAAACAGTGGGCACAAATATGTTGATCAGTGGGTAAATAAAGCACAGTGGAATCAGGTGTATTATCATTTTATTTTAACAAAATACAATTCACATAAAATATTTAGAAGGTTACCAAAAATTTAAATATTTGTTTCAAATCAATGGTAATAACTTCTATTTGATAATTGACTGTTTTCACTGTGTAATTACCTTATGCGTTTTATTTCTTGTTGAAAAAGCTATGTCACGCAAGCAATTACCGATTAGTTATAAATAAAGGGCACACTGTTGATCGGTTCAAAGATTTCTAAATTGCAAATTGGCTATAATATACATAAATTAAGTACTGTTCTAATTAAACCAATTGTTAAATAATATCAGTATAAATTAGACTTTTAAATTACATTTAAATTGATGTGGTGTTGTGGGAAAGATTTTAATTAAATCTAAAAAGCATCTAAAGCGTTAAAAAATCTACACCATCAGGGACTAATAAGCCTTTTTAATTCCAATGTAGGGTATAACAGCACGAAGTGCATAAAAGAAAATATTTAAGAGCAAAGAAAAGTGAAAAAGCTAAAGCACAAACATACAAAAACTACGAACACACATTATCCATTTGCCAAATAAACATGCAGAAAGGAAGAAGAGAAAGTGGGGGGTTGGGGCGGCAGTGTTGGGGAAAGAATGCAAAAGAAGAGGCTCCAAAAGGCGGCAAATCTGCTGCATGTGTGTGTGAAGATGGTAACAATTGAACGAATAATAGCAGATAAAAAACGTGGATTGGTCTACTAATGCAAGAAGAAGAATCGTAACAACGGGAACAAACGAGCCGCATAATGTGCGATTAATGATAAGCCTCTGTAGGCAAAATAAAGAGAGGGAGAGAGAGAGAGAACGGGAGAGACACACTGATTTTTGAGTGGGTGGCAACACCTATTCTTCCTCTTTCACTTCACACCTTTTTTCTTGCCGCCGTTTTGTTTTGATTGCGAATCTTCTTCAAAAATTTAAATGTAAATGTGTTTGTACAGTGGAGCATCTCTAAGTTGTAAATACAAAACTAAAGATATTTTTAGGAATTTAAAATTTCTCAATTTAAATAATACTAGTTTTTGACATATTAAAAATAATTTTTAAAATTTAAAATTAAAATAAAATTGCCTATTTTTTTTTTTTTTTTTAATTTTTAGTGTACAAAGAAAATATAAATTAAATTTTTTTAAATTATTTATAATTTTTAAACATTATCTTCCAAGAATTTCCACTGTACATTTGACTTAGCAATGCAAGAAAAAAATCCCTTGAAATTTTCCCTTATTGTTTGGCATAAAATTGTGGTTGCATTTTAACCTCCTCGTTGGAAGTTGCAAGCAAAAGTTGGTTTCACCTCACCTTCCTCCACCTCCTCCTTCTTCTCCTCTTCATCGTCCCATTGCCTCCCATTCTATTTGCACGGAAAGTTGCCTCTTCGAGCATCCTTTCAGCATTCCTATTATTCTTTTTTATATTCCTTTTTTTGACAATGCCCCAACTAGCAAAAACAACTTGCGGAGGCACCCAATACGTGCCATTGAAAACGAGAAAGGAAGTTTTGTGGAGAAAGAAGAAGTTTGGATACCCTTTCTATAAAGAGAAGGTAGAAGATTTGAATGAGACTAGAGGGAAAAACTGATATATTACGATTAGTATGCTTTTAACTTTAAAAATAAATATATTATGAATCAAGTAAATACAATTTTTTTAAATTAATTATCTAAATCAATGAAAATACTTTTTTTAATTAATAAGAACTACAAAGTTTTAGCTCATGTACTTTTATAAGAAAGGATAGTTGAAAATTGTTAAAACATTATTAGCTTAGCATTTAATAGCAGAAATACTCTTAAGATTCCGAGCTTAATCAACAAGTCAATAAAAGTCAATGGACATTTCATTGTTACTAACTTTTCTGACCATATTTAGTATACCCTTTAACAAGAGCAATGGCAAAAAAGAAGTTTCACTGAAAAACTGGTTTCAGTTTCGGTTTTCTTCCTTCGGGCCTGGCCCAACATTTTACATGAAAATGTGAAAAAAACAAAACCATTTCAGCAGTGCTAAAACCACGCGACATGACCAGCACTAAATAAAGTAAAAATAGTTGCCATTTCGATGGGCAATCATGGGTTAAGCTTTATGTAAAATGCTTGGGCTATCAAGGAAACGAAATATATTTAGAGAGGAAGTTTAACCACATTCTTAGAAGTTTTGATTAAAATTTGAAACCAAAAATGGTTATCAGAAAATATTTTTAGACTAAGGCGGCGATATTGCATGGGAAAAGGTTGTTAATTTAGGTTAAAATATGAGTTATAAAAGTGATTATAATGAAATTATATTTACAAAAAAGTAAGACAATAATCTTGGAGAATCATTCAACTTTCTAAAGGATAGAAATTTTAAAAGTTTGTAAGAAAAATCTTTAATAGAGGCGATTGTTCAAGAGAATTATGTGTAGTTTATCATATAAAATTTAGTGTAGCATACTTATAGACTGCTTTTTAGAAGATTTCAGGCGGGTATTGATTAGGCAATAAACACCTTAAACCTAAAGGATATCAGCAATTCGCATAGAACTTATCTAGCATCGTTATTTCTACCTGTCTTCGGCATAGTTTGGCTCACTCACCCACCTTGCCCTTCTGCTCCTGCAACTGGCCAGCTTCCCTATTCCCTGAAACTCGTTGCAAAGCTCTCTCAAACACAATGGCTTTGCAACTCCTTTTTATAGCATCTACAACATGTGGTTGGTGGGTGCAGTTGCATCTACAACGGCGATTCGCGAAGAACCCAAATCGGAGCATGCTACCTCACCTTTTGTATTGATTGATTTTCCCTACAAATAAATAGTATATAACTAAAGCTTTTCTTGCCTTTCCAGGAGGATAAAAGGACAAACACAACGTGTTAAACACGTGAGAAACGTATAAACAAAAACCGGAAATCAACAAGAAAGTTTGAGAGAAAAGAAAATCCCATTAAAATGGCAGCGGTACGAGGACATCAGTATTTCAGCCTTCGCTGGAATAACTATCAGAATACGATGACGTCAGTATTCCAACAGCTACGGGAGGATCTGTCCTTTGTGGACGTAACCCTGTCCTGTGAACATGGATCCTTAAAGGCGCATAAGGTGAGTGATTATTTATAATTAGATTATAAAGAATTCTTATCAGCTTTTAACTTACTTTTTAGGTTGTTCTCTCCGCCTGTTCGACGTATTTCCAAAAACTACTGCTGGAAAATCCATGCAAACATCCCACAATCATCCTGCCCGCCGATATTATCTTCACCGATCTAAAAACCATTATCGATTTTGTTTATCGCGGAGAAATCGATGTCACCGAATCGGAATTACAGGTGAGTTGGCATTGGGATGTTAAGTTAGCAATTAGTTATTAGTTTTTTTTTAAAAAAAATTTAAAAACTGTTTAATATAAAAATTTAAAAATATACTGTTTAAAATCAGAAAGATCAGATGATCATAAAGAGCAGATCTTTCAAGAATAGAAAAGCTTTGTAATTGCAATTCAAAAAGGATATAAAAAGTATATAGGTGATTTGATAGTACGATACAGTTATGATAAATCTGTTAGGATCAGTTTGCAAAATTGAAAAATTTTGTAATTATTATTTATTAAAAAACACAATAAAAGGATAATTCTTAGGGTTATAAGATATATATCCTGATATAACTTTAAAAAAAATATATGTTAATATTTGAACGAATGAATTTTACAGAGGACTTTAAGTAATTTAAGTTATAACCCAATAAAAAATATGTATTTTTACAATGTTAGATAAAGGTAACAGGAAGTTCAGTTTTGTAGATAAGTTATCTTTCCGTTATAGATTTAATAAAAGGCATTCATAAATGTCTCGGAATTCATAAATGAGCTGTAAAAATAGTTTTTTTTTAATAAACCCATCAAATTATAAACAAATTATACAATCAGCACAATAGAAAAGTACCATAAATGATTGTTTTTTTTTTATTGTTTTATGGATAAGATAACTTTGTGGAAGACTATTTTTAGGATCTTTATTCTTATCTAATTACTGAGAAATCTTTTTTGGTTCCTGTTTATAGAAAGTAAAATCAAATATGAAGACAAGATAAGTGGGAAATCAATAAAATGATTATCGGGATTACAGTTTTTTGATATATTTATACAAAATTATGGATTTCAGGTTTTATGTTTGCAAAATTCAAAGATAATGTTTATCCTTAGAATTTTTTATCTTAATCTATGAAAAATAAGATTAAAGATGTTTTTATTTATAGTTAACTTTAGAGTAAAAGTTGAAAGTTATTAGGTTATAGGTTTATGCTAAACAGAGAAGGCTTATCAGTAAGTTAGTTTCTTAGTTTCCCCACTTTACTCACAGACTAGTCTATCAAATAGTTTAAAATAGCTTTGCTAATCCCCACATGATTATCACAACAATTTAGTTAATTCCTTGAGCTAAATCTTATGATTCTATCTGTGAGCTAGAAACTCATAATGTTGATATTCCAGACTGCACCCACAATTACCACCTCCTAATCGGTTGTCAAACAAACAAACAAAACATCGAGCTAGCCAGCCAAACCACAAAAGTTTTCCTTTTTTTTTTTTTTTTTAAATTGAACGCACAAATATAGAGGCGGTTCTTGGTGTGTGAGTACAATTACTTTCAGGGTCGTCGTTGTTATCTGGACATAGCAGCCCCATCTCTCTGGAAAAACCCCTTTTTCTAGCCCCCTTCTACATCAACCTCACTCTCCCGCATTTATCTGAGTGCCACCCACTGCAAACCAGCCTACTACACTGAAAGAAACTTTTGGAATTAAATTGGGAAACTAAGAATGAGCATATCCTCTGTTTTCTTATAACTTCTAATTAGTATTTTTGTACTTATTAACGTTCTTAATTTCTATTTTAATATTTTATGCCATAAAATCTTATAATTATAGAAATTTCTGTAGAAACTATGACCATAATTTGTTATATTTTATTTGCACAAATAATATTGTATTTTACAATAACTAAATTTATCTCTCAGTGCCGCAACGTGCCTCGCTTTTTGTTGCTTTTGCATTTGACGACAACGCCCCATTGTAATTGTCATTTGTGTGCTTCATTAATTCTTGTTGCTGACGATTGCTCCGTGACATATAGACTATATATATAGTATATATACTATATCTCGAACCATAGCATTTATCGGGGAAAATGTGGTCAGTATCAATATGGTTTGCCGCCATCAGGTTGTTGTTTGTTTGGTAATTAATATTGATTTGCATGTGAAAACTTATCGATTTGCGGCCATAATTAGTAGGCAGGTCAACGAGTTTAGCCTGAGGGAAAATCAAATTAGGCTTATCAATTTGGAAAACTAATGGGATTGCCAGGAGAGTTGCATGTGCATAAAGCTTATTTATTTATTATTTAAAAACCAATTTAAAATTGTTTTTCATTCCATTTTACGGGATTTAATGTATAAAGTTAAGTTTTTTTAAGTTATTATTCAGTAATTAGTAAACTAAAATCAATAATTTATAGATTTTCATAAATTTTATTTTAACAAAAAGTATAAATCCAGGGTTAAATTGCCTACAAAAACCATTTTTTTTTTCATATTTACTCATTTTTAAAGATATTTCTTAGTATTTTTCAGAAATTATTAATTATAATGAAAAGTTTAATACTTAAAGCCACCAAAAATAAAAATAAATCTATAAAACTTACCTTAATTATATATTAAATATCAAAAAAGGAAATCCCATGTTAATGTAAACAGCGGAAATCCGTTGCTATGTTAAATGTTAACATTAACTTATTTAAACAGCAACCACTTAAGCGGGGACAACAACCGCATTACAGTGGTGGCCAATGTGTCCGCTTGAGCAAATAAGCAGAGCGCTCGCTCAACTTGCTTCACACTCAAGTCGCCGCTGCTGAGAAATAAAAAATTACTCAAGCTAAAAGGGGGGCAAGCGCAAAAGTAAGAAAAAAATGCTCAAACGGCGGTCCATTTCCACCCGCTCTCTCTCTCTCTCACTCCCATATGCACACCTATACATGTACGCAAAGCCCTCCTTCCGCTGCTAGTGCTTCTTCTTCTTCTTGCGGCGACTGGCAGACGTCGACTTCCCATTCATGCTCTCTTTTCCTACCCGTCTCCCACCCCCTTTCCCCATTTTTTTCTTTTTTACTTTTGTTGTTCTTGTCACAGACGTGCGCTCCATTTTTATATTTTCGCTGCAAAAGTTTTGCCGGCCATCTGTCCACCCACCCAGCTCCTTTCGCCCCCTGTTTTACCTCCACAAGTTGCTGAATTTTTTTGCGCCTCTTTTTTCTTTTACTTTTTTTTGGTGGGGACTTTTACAACTACAACTACAGCTTGTATCTCTTTCGTTTGTCGCCGTTGTTTCTGCACATGTTCTTGGAGTTTCCTCCATCTCCTTCTCCTTTACTTTATGTATTACGTTTTTATTTTGTTTCTTTTTTTTTTGCTTTTTGTTCCCCCATTTTTATTTTCGCTGCTTCTTGTTGTTATTGTATTTGCCCTTGTACTTTGTATGTTTCAACCGCAACTTCTGTTTGCTTGTGTGTATGGGTGTGCTGGAGCTTTCGTCTTGGTGCGTATTTTGCTTGGGTGTGTGTGTGTTTGGGGATATTTTTTTTTTTTACTCTCGAGTTGCTCAGTGTGTGCATGAGTGTGTGTGTGTGTGAGTTGCCCCCTTTTTTTTGGCGCGTCCATTTCGCCTTGAAAATTTTTTGTTGTATGGACTTCAGATTGGCAATGCTAAGGGAAATCGCAATGGAAATGGGGGAAACCAAAACTTTGGGTACTTTTTGGACATTGTGCAGTGGAGTGTTTCCAAATAAAAAAAATTTAAAAGAAAATTTTGTTTTGCCAAAACTTACTTATTGTTGTTGCGACTGTCCAAGAAAATGACTTCTTGAGCAAACTTTTATAACTACCTAAATAAATTACAAAGTCAGTTTAATTAGTTAAAATATTAATGGACATTTTTTACTGGCCACTAACAGCTAAATGCATGTTTAAATTAAAAACACACTTAAGATATTTTGGAAACTAATTCCTTAACTTTTTAATTCGGCGTGAGGAAGTTTGAGATCCCTATAATATTATCTCGTTAAATAAATCGTTTAGGTTCACCCTAAAAATACAGAAATGCCTATATAATTTTTGTGGTATTCTTTAATTGCTTTGCAGGCACATTTAAAAACAATTAGTTGTGCAATTCCTTTTAATAGGAACAGGGTTCACCCAAAAACAACAACAAATCGAGCTCCACTAAGAAACGGCTTCTTATGCAGGCTGTCTCGTTCGCCCCCACACCGGTTGACCCCAGCGTTGCCACACTTCTTTCTTTCTTGGTTTTATTTTCTTCTCTTCTTTTTGGGGTTAAGCTCAGATTCGATTTTCGCTAAGCGTTAATTAATGCTGGCGCTGCTTTAATGCTTTTAGCAAACGTGGTCAGCCATTGCACACACACATACCGACACACACACACATGCACAGATGATTTAGTGTTGCCAGTTGCCTTAGGTCCCCCTATAACCCCCCTTAACCCCTTACTGGCCATCACTTTTAAATGCATGTGTCTGCCACGCCATGTGCTTTGGTTATATTTATTGCTATGTATTTTTTGTTTTGGTTTTTCTCTCTGAATTTTTGTTGTTGTATTTTTTTTTGCATGCCAACACTTGAGGGTCTTCCCAATGCGTCGTGCTTCTCACTCCCACCCACTCGCGGCCTCCTCCTCTTTTGGCCTCATTGCATGTGTGATACACTGAACAATTTTGTTATGCTGATACTTACATTGTTTAAAATGTTCAAATAGGATAAATCTTATAAAAATATTTTTAAAAAAATATTATTTTCATGTTTAAATATCAGTTATTATTATTTCTTTTTAATGTACGACATCAAATCGACGAATAAAGCGCATCTTAAATTAAAAAAGCTTTTTCTCTTTGTGTACCCCTCTCTTCGGCTCCCTCGCTCCTTCACCTTTATCTTTGGCCAACTATGTGAGCAGCTGAAACGGACACAAACACACGGACAACTACAAGACAGAGACGGGGAATAAGGTGGACATCAGTTAATGGGGTGGCTCAACACCCAACATCACCCACACTCACTCGTTCTGTCTCACTCTTTCCCTCTCCCACTGTCTGAACCACTTGGCTTGCATTTTTTCCGATTTTTTCTTTCGTTCTTTCTTGCAAACAGAATTACGTTTCTTTTTTTTTTATACCGAGTGAAAGAGCGAGAGCGCGCTTGCAACTTTGAACTTTTCGAAGGAAACGGACCAAAAGCAAAAAAAATCGAAATTGAGTGAA